CCCGATGTGGGGATAAATAATGACCCCAAACCCTCATCCATCAGAAATATCCCGATGTGGGGATCAAAAATCAACCCAAAACCCTCACCTATCAGAAATATCCCAACATGGGGATAAATAATGACCCCAGACCCTCAACCACCAGAAATATCCCAACATGGGGATAAATAATGACCCCAAACCCTCATCCATCAGAAATATCCCGACGTGGGGATAAATAATGACCCCAAACCCTCATCCATCAGAAATATCCCGACGTGGGGATAAATAATGACCCCAAACCCTCATCCACCAGAAATATCCTGATGTGGGGATAAATAATGACCCCAACCCCTCATCCAGCAGAAATGTCCCGATGTGGGGATCAAAAATCAACCCAAAACCCTCACCTATCAGAAATATCCCGACGTGGGGATAAATAATGACCCCAAACCCTCATCCATCAGAAATATCCCGATGTGGGGACAAACAATGACCCCAAAACCTTCATCCATCAGAAATATCCCGACGTGGGGATAAATAATGACCTCAAACCCTCATCCACCAGAAATATCCCGACGCAGGGACACCACGTCCCGTCGACACGGGGTGGGATCATCATCAACTGTTGAGGTTGGCCAACCCCAATGGGACGACCGTCCTCTGCCATGAGGGAAAGCGAGGGGAGATGCCTTCAGAACCCCCAGAAATGGGGAAAACCCAGGTGTGAACATCGATAATGCGGGTGGCGAGCCCTTTTCACATCATTCCGTGATACGACCCCGCCACGAGGACGTCTCTTTCCCAACAAACCACACGAGGTGGAGCAACACAAAGGATTCGTTTTCCCCTCTTCTCATCCCCTCCCCACATCAGGGCTTCTCCTGATACAACCAGAAGGTCCGGGCGCACGGCGTGGGGCAGCGGCCCCTCCGATCTGGTCCTTCAGGCTTCCTCCCCGAGCCAGGAGGAAGGAATCAGCTCTTTGTTGGGTGCGTCACCTCCTGCTTGGAGTCCAATCTTGGGCTGGGATGCCCCTCCCCGAAGCGCATGGCGAAACAGGAGGAGATAAACGGCCTTGGTGACTTCCTGATGCGCGGTGACAAATCGTGGACACGACCGACCGGTCCCTGGGGGTGTCCTGGTGGGAGCTCTGTTCCATCCCTGGGATGTGAGGTGGGGATGGGGAGGTGGG